ACTAAAATAAACTCTACTTGCATGAAAAGTTAAAAAAAGAACTTTTAAAGGTCCACATGTTAATCACTTGGATCGAGGTTATGGATTGCCCTCTTTAGATCATTGGGATGGTGGCTTCTACCCAAAGTTGGAATTACAAAACACACAGTCCAGCTCTGAGGCCCCACCTTTACTAATGTTTTACTCTTAGCTCTAGTTTCCATGTGTGATAATGGAATTTGTTTTATCCAATTCAAACTTTTCTCATGATTTAAAACAAAGTTTTCTCATATTGAATTTTCTCATAATTTGTTTAAGTTTCATAATTTTGCTTAAATTTTCTACATTTCATTATATTATTGTACTAACCTTTTTTGCAACAGTAGTAAAGGCCCGAATATGCAATGTTATGTTTTATTTCCTTCTTTTATGAACTTCGCTTCTATTGTTCTTTCATAAGTGCATGTTTCATTATAATTTCAAGAACATGAAAACATAATACCCTTTCAACACTTAATAAAGAATCTAATTCACTCATTTTAAATTTACAACGATCTCTCGGATGAGATAACCTATGGTTGCTAACGAGAATTCTCCATTCTACATGAACTTAATAACTCGTTTAAGCTAAGTAAATTTAAAAGAAAATAGTGATACCAGGATTGATCGGTGTCGCTCAACTTAAATTAAAATTCACCCCAAAAACATTTTAATGATAAAATCCATTAATAACAAAATAATTTGCAAACTTTGGAGCTACCGTTCTAACCATAAGCTTGGAGCAGACTTCGAGGGCAACACGACTTGGACACAAGAGAAGAACATCTTTGAGGGAGCAAATAAGGACAACTTCAACTAAACTTTCCTTAATTTAAACAATAATTATCCATAGGATTTTGAGGTAGTTCGCCTAGTGCGCACTTTATCTTTAGGCCTTTATATAACTATGTTGTGTAATTTAAGCCCTAACTCTCTTAAAAACCGAGATAGTCATTGGATATGACATAAATCCTCTTATCTTTCAGACTATTTACATGATCAAATATCATGCAAATGTAAGCCCTAAGTAATGAAAATGGCAAGATGAAACAACAAGTAATATCATCTTCGAAACCAAAGCCAAACTATATGATAGTTTGGGAAGTGATCGAGGTTCGCCTCGAAATCTGTAACATCCCCTACTTCTCTTTCTTTTAGATTTTGAAAATAATTGCTCCTATTTGATCCACTCTCATTTGATTTTTCCATGCTCAACCATGAACACTAAACTTTGTAATCTTGAAGACAAACACCTCTAGTTTTTATCAAGGGTTTTCTTAAGTGACTTCGATCGCTTAGAATGTAATTAACTTTAGAGAACTAAAGATCCCATGTAATATAAACTCTGTTTAATCCTTATATTAGATAGATGAACTTGTCGGGCAACATATAAGAAGGTTCGCAGACCAAATATATGTCACAAACTTTTTTATTAGTTTATTTAATCGAGTCCCCTGACAAGTAATGTGTATATTCTTCAGGATATTTGTATCGTTTGTAGTATTATGCTCGGTCATTTAGATCTATTCGGTCTCACATTTTTTTCAAAATTAATATATATATTAAATTAAAACAAAAATTATTTTTTTTTAAATTCCGCCAACAGCGATCCACACGATGAATGTGATTGGAGGAAGGGAGCTGCACTTTGGAGAAAAAACAGCTATGCAAAGTTCTCCCAAAATGGGCCTCTTTTTACTAGCTCGATGAGAGGATTTTATAATTCCCCCAAAAATGGTTGACACTATCTCAATGATATGAATGGTGTTCACCCAAACTGGCACATCTGAGATTTCCTCTACTAGAGTCTTCCCATGCCTATAGGTCGCAGCTCCAGGTGTCGCATCTCTAAGCGCCACAAACTCCTTCAGTTTTCCAGCTCTTATTAGCTCCTCGTTCAAGCTCCAGAGGTGTCTGAATTCCTTTGTATCATGGTTATATTCTCTATGATAAGAACAATATTTCTTTGCAGCCTGGAGAAAAGCTCTAGCTCTCATTGGCGGCGCCTTCTTGAAGTATTCTTTATTCATAATGTCCTATACCAACACTATCAATGATACTCTCAATGGAGTGGCCTTCATAACCTCGTGGTAGCTTGACGATCGCTCATGGCAATGAGTCGGTTGTTGTTCATGATGAAAAACCTGACCTCTTCTATGATTGCTCCAGTTGGCCCCTTGTTGTCTCGAGGTGGCCAACTGTCTTCATGTAGGGGATAGGTAGAAGGACATGAGATGTCCTTTGGCCTTCACTTGTTATTTTGTGGGCCTCTCTTCTATCAGTGATGGTCAGATGATTCGACTTTGTGATATACTAGGTTGTTGACATACAACTTTGTTGTGATGTGGCTATTGACCAACTCCAACATTTTGGCCAAGGACTTCAACTGTTGTAAACCTAAGTCATCTCAAAATAATTCTCCTCATAGCCCTTGGGACAAGGCAACATGTGCTACCGCGTGTTCTAGATCCTACACCTCTAACATCTCCTTCTAAAATCAAGTTATATATGAGTGGAGCCTCTCATTTTGTCCTTCCATGATCTGCCCCAAGGCATACAAACTCTTCGATGGCTTTTGGGAACTAACAAACCATAAAACAAACATCCTTTTGAAATAAACAAGGTATGTGATTACTCTGGCTGGCAAACCATTGAACTGTCAGAGGGTCGACTCCTTCAACGTGGTGAAAAAAAAAGGACACACTTCAAAGCATCGATGATCCTCAACAAGTAGACAATTCACTCGAAGAAGACAATGAGGTCAGTCAGATTATTCTAACCTTTGTAAGATTCAAGAGACGATATCTTAAACTTCTTGGTGGATTGACAACTCAAATTTGCCTTCACAACTCATTCCTCAGTTGACAAGGAGCCTCAGTGTGCCCAAACCATTGTCTTTCTATCAATGTTGACCCAACACTGTCCTGGTACTGTGAATCTTTTGCTCTTTCTTGGGGAAACAGCTTCCTCTGATCACTAGGCACCGGTTCCTCCTTAGGTTTGTTCCATTCTCC